CCTTGAACCTGTCTCCAAGGCCCCTTTTCTTTGACTTTCCAGTGAGCCAAAGCAGCCTGTCTAGGCTCTCCTGTTGCTGCTTCTATCCTAAACCCTTCTTCATTTCACTGTCCCTAGCTTTAATAAACATACTCTCAAAATTAAAAAAAAAAAAAAAGCTGGATAGATCTGGCTCCTGTGCTAGATACTGCTTGCTAGGCAGAAATGTTAAGCTCAAGGACAGGAGGTATAGAGGACCTCTGTAGTTGAGGGGTGATATGGGGGAAGGAGGCCTTGAATCAACACTTGATCATCAAGAGAGAGCTGCTGGGCCCTCAGGGACTTCTAGTTGGTGGCTCGGGCACCCAATCCCTTGGTCTTCAGGAAGCCCCCAGGGCAGCGCTGGGTCTCCATACAAGACTTTATTCCTGCACTGTTCGCCTCTACAGTTAACTGCATAGTGGCTCAGGGTGGTGTAAATGCACTTCTTGGTCAAAGGGTGCTCAGCTCAGAGAGGTTGAAGCTGGAAAAAGCACCGGGAGAGTCATTTGCCAAGTGTTAACCAAGGCTAGTATGAGCTAGGCTCTGTGCTAGTGCAAGGAATGTGGTCTCTTCTTATTCCCTTGTCCTTTGGGAAAAGGCAGGCATTTAGCACCTCACAAGGGACTGGCCTAGGAATGCTTTCCAGAGATGTGCCACCTGAAGGTGGTCAACGATGTGTGGGCTTTCGGGCAAGCACAGAGGAGGCTTAGGGGCAAAGATGGTTTAGGCAGAAGAGATGCTCTTTACAGAGGCTTGAAGTGTGGGGACTCTGAGGTAGTCTATTCTGGAACACAGAGTAGAGATGGGTTGGAGCAATTGATATAATCTAAGGTAGTCAGAAAAGACTTTGTGCTGTGCCAGAGAAATCTGGAGGGTGCTGGGGAGCCATCGAAGCATGTGAGCAGTGGAGTGAGGGATTTGCATGGGAGAAATTGTCTATAGGAGGCTGAGCTATGATTTATTTGGTTATTCAGGCCAAGGTGTCCCAGAGGTCAGAGGAAGACCCTCCCTTCAAGCTTTAGTGTGAGGCTGTGTGTGTGGATGAGCTGAGGTGAGCATGGAAGGTACACTTGGGGATGAGTAGACAGCTTTTGGTTTCCCTGATCCTGACCAGATCTGAGACATCCCCACCAATACCTCTGCCATTGCTTCTGTATTCATGATTCTTGTTTCCTGTGGCAAGGGTTAGCTCACCTTTCTTGCCTGGTTCAGAGAGAGTGTGTCCACATGCATACACCCTATCTATTTGGCAGCCTGACCAGCCTGTTGTGTTCACAACCTGTGCAAGGAATAAGGAGACATTGAGAGCACCACGGGATGTGACTGGCTTAGGTTCCTCCCTGACTCTGCCCCTTCCCCGCTGAATACAAGTTGGTTACCTGAGCCTTATATTCTCATCCATAAATTGGAGCAGTTGTGGTGCTGGGTGTGGTTCAACTCCAGAATGCTATGTGTGCATATCCTAGCCTCTTTCTTACTATACCTCCCCTCTGATCTTGCTGGGTCAGGGTAGGGGCTGAGGAAGGCTGTGCCCAGTCGACGCACAGTTGGAGCAGAGGCACATGGAACGGTTAGGAAAGGGACACCAGGAGGCACCTGGAGAGCGTGGATACTGTTATAGGAGAGACAGTGGTGCAGATCTGGGCTTTGTGGAGTTTGATACTCAGGGGTGCTGGAGCTTAGGCTTAGGGGCCCAGGTCACTCAGACAACAGAGTATTCAGATACTCCCACTACATTGCTTCTTGCCTTCCTTGGGAAAGCCAGGCTTTTTAGCATAAGGTGAGGGTGGAGCCAGAAGTTGGGGGAGTGGTTGGCATCAGGGCCTGAGTGCAGACTGGTTCACCGTCTCTCAGAAATGGTGGTCTCTGCACATCTCTTTTCTGCTGAAGTGAGCCCACCTGGGCTTCAGAGGCCATCATTGGGTTGTAGCTGTGCGACTTAGGTGACTGATTTGGTCTCCAATTTAGCATTGCTTCCCACCCTCACCCCCCAACAGTGGGTATAATCCTCCCCACAGCTTCTCTGGAGGATTCCTTGAGTGATAAAGGAACTTGAGGGGAGCACCTGGGACAGAGTCAGTTCTCTCCCATCTCCTGAGGTCACATGGTAATGTGTTAACATTAATGCTGTCATCCTCCCTTTTTTCTGGCTTCCCCTGTACCAAGGCCCAGTCCCTGCTTTGTCGTGGGAGTTGTCCTGACATCCTGGGTGACTTTTCTGGGTGTGGTAGTCTGCCTGGACCTCACCTCTTGTGCCTGGTGCCTTGCTGTGACCCATAGGTGCTTACTCAGATCTATAATGCAGGTCTTCATTCCTTTTGCCACCTGAGGAGGCCCAGACCTTACTGCTAGAACTGGACATCCTTACTCCAAATCTGTGGCTTTATACACTGAACCCTGAGGAGCCTGGCCTGCTCCCTGGGAGTTGGCTGCCTTTTAAGAGGGGTGTGCTCTGAAGTTAAACTGCTGGTGGGCTCTGGGTTTGGGGTCTGGCTCTAGCCTGGCTCCCTGTGGCTTTGTGGCTTTTTGGAAGTGGGGGAGGACAGGAACTTCTCCACTTTTTCTGAGATGTACTTGTAACAGCCCCAGGGGATGAGTCAGGAGCCCTTTGGAGCCCCAGAGCTTATACTGCCCCCAAAGTGGGTACAGGAGTCTGTACTTCAAGTAGGGCCACCTCTGATCATCTTTCCTCTGGGGGCTGCCCCTTGATAACAGTGGAGCTGTCATGTGCAGAGAACAATACCCTTCCCTCATTTAGGCAGCTGGAGAGCAGCAGAGCCAGTCCACATCCCTGCCCTGTGTGTCCTGTCTCAGCAGGCTGTACTTTTCTCCCCAGCTTCTCCCACAGTCCTAGAACTATAGTGAGGGGCCACCACCACTGTGCTTTGGCTGCCCAGGCAGGCCATTCAAGTAGTAAGCAGCTTAAGAAGGGCGGGGCCAAACCAGGGCTTGGCCTGTGCCATTGGTGCCTGCGTGGCAGGATGTGTTTGTGTTTTCCAGCCCCTGAGGTGTGCAGTTTGGGCTTTCCTCTTGGTGGCTCTGCTGTTCTCTTGCCACCTGTCACTAACCCAAGGAAACAACTCCAGGGTGCTAGGCCCTGCCTACTACCATGCTTTCTGCATGCAGAGACTTTTTTGCCTTGGGTGTGTGGTCCTTGGCACCTGTGGGATCTTAGTGTAGGACTTAGCTTTGTGGTGCTAAAAGGGGATGTTCCTCCATGAGGCTTCAGACCCTTGCAGCCCTGGAAGTGAAGCTTAATGGCTAATGTCTCATTAAGTCTGACCTCTGCTACCTGGATCTATCAGCACAGGAATACAAGGTCTGGCCTGGTAAAGAAGAGGGCTTCAGGGCTAAGGTGATTCTAATTCCCACCTTCATGCCTGGATGTTGGCCAGCACTACTTTTTCCTGGTGCTCCTCTAAAGAATCCTAGCCTTCAGGGAGGTCACTTGTCTTCAGTTTCTAGACCCTCAGAACTAAAAGAGGCCTTAGAGCCAGTCACATTTCTTCCTCCTTTGCTCAGATGGGGAAACTGAGGCCCAGAGAGGGATGATTAGGGTTGGATCTTCTCTTGCTAGTAGGTCTTGCTTCCCTGAGCCTGGAGTACCCATAGTAGAGACTGAGACTGGAGGAGCTGTGCTCCTCTGGCCTTTGCCTCTGTAAGGCCAAAGCAAAGGGGCAGGGACCAGTTGCGTAGCCATCCTGTCCCCTAGTTTGAGCCTGAGAGCATCAGAACGTCAGAACGTGTATTCCCAGCTAGAAGGCTCCCCCTGCTGGTCTCAGGAGAAGACCCCCATCTAGGTTCAGATCCCTGTGACTCCTGCCTGTCTGGCTTGGAGTCTCACCTAGGCTTAAACTTTTGTTTTAAGACTTTTAGGACACGTGACTTACTACTTTTCTGACCCAGTTTTCCCCATCTGTTTACAGCAGGCCAGCCAGTAGGGGTAGGGGAACTGCGAGGACTGGGTGCAGTTGTTCTCAAGAACACCAGGCAGCCTAGCCTAGGGCAAGGCAGCCTCTGATCCCAGCCCCCCTTTCCTCAGCATTTCTGTGAGGATGTCCTTTGAGTCTTGCCCTGATCACAGCATCTTTTTCCTCAAAATCAAATTATTTTTTTGTGCCCAGTAGCCTATGGGAAGGGTGCCTTTAGGGTCTTCCGCCAGCTGTGCACCCATTACTCCCCATCCCAGGCCTTTCTCCTTACCCTCCTCTACCATGCAAGGAGCCTTGGGCTTCTTTGAGGTTTCCCTAGCCTGGCTTCAGATCACTGCCCTGGATACGTCCCTGCCCAGCTTCTCCAGCCCCTCTTCCTTGACCCTACTTGCATGTTCTTCCTTTACTAGCAATGCATTCCTTAAAGTTCACACCTGGTGCTAGGTGGGGACTTTGCCTTCAAAAGCCTTTGGCCTGGTCAGTATCCTGGAATAAACAGAAGCTGCCAGGTCGCTGTGGTGGAATGAGAGCCAAGTATGTGAATGTGGAGTTGGGCCTGGGCTCTCCTGGCTCTGCCACAGCCTCAGTGTCCCTGTGTGGGAGTGTGGGGAAAACTTACTCTCTTCCCCTCCAGCCCTTTCATGGGCCTGGGCCAGGAGAGTTTTCCTGTCTTGGTATTTCAGGCAAGGATAAAGTTGTCCGTTGGAGTATGTTGGTGCCCTCAGCCCTCTCAGGTAGAAATGTCCCAAAGAACTGGGCCTGGGGCTGCCTCATCCAACTGAAAGAGTGCCCTGGGATCTTTCCCCTGGGGCAGCAGATTCCTGTCATGGAAGCCTCCATATAGAAGTATTCTTGTTCCCTGCTCGTAAGCCTGAACTTAAGTGTCTTTGGAAGTCAGCCAGACCAATCCCTAGTTGAACCATAAGAGACTGAGGCACAGAGCAGAGCTTCTGGCTTCTCCATTCAGCCTGCCTGGAGAATTGGTCTGATAGGATCCATACTCCCACCAGAGGCCCACTGGTGATCCCATGCCTATTTCTTTTGCAGGACTAGATTAGACGCACCCCGGTTGGAGACAAAGTCCCTGAGCAGCTCCGTGTTACCACCCAGCTATGCTTCAGATCGCCTGTCGGGAAACAACAGGGACCCTGCGCTGAAACCCAAGCGGTCCCACCGCAAGGCAGACCCTGATGCTGCTCACAGGTACTCAGCTTAGGACCCTCAACAAGACTAGCAAAGCAGCCCCATGGTCTAGCTTCAAGATGAGATGGGTAGGGAAGCCTGGGATAGGTGGTGAGGAGCCTGGCAATTGCCCATCTTGCTTAACTTTATGTCTAGTTCCCCTGGGTTGGTGGCATTCACTCTTAACCCTTGACTGATTGCCTATATCCTCAGAGAGAAGGGGTTGGACCGATACTCTGACAAGTGGGAATGCTTTGTGGCGTGCCCTTGATTTCTCTTTTTCAGTCCACCTAGAAAAGTACTCTTGTGGGTTATGCTTAAATGTTAGGAGGGAAGCTTGGGACTCAGAAGATAGTGGACCAGGGACCCATTTCACAAGGATTGGGGAAGGTTCCCGAGGAAGTACTATTTAAGCTAAGAGCAGGAGGATGAGGAAGACCTCTGGGAAGGGCAATTTAGGCAGGAGGTACCATATGGGCTGAAACACTGAGGCAGGAAGAGCTTGGTGGTTTTAGGGGTTGGTGAGCAGAGAGAGGAGGTGGGCAGAGATAAAAATTGGGAGTAGATGGGGGGATTGAGAAGTAGAGGGAGGTGTCAGGACTGTGCAGGGTGTTAGGCTATGATAGGGAAGGCCTCTTTCTATTTGGCAGCCTTGGCAATGTCCTGGGGCACCAGACTCAAAGCCAAGCAGACCCCACAGGGTACTTGGGAAATGTCTTAAAGACTAGGAGAGGCCACTAGCACTTAGTAGGCAGGGACAACAATGCTATTGCTTCTGCCAATACACCCCTCTCGGAGAACAGAGAACAGTGGTGAGACATCCTGCAAATGAGGGTCAGAGCCAGGTGCAGAGGTGGGAGGCCCCGCCCCTCCGCCAGCCTCTTGGGTAACCCCTCCCACTTCCTCCCACCTTGGCCCCTTGCAGGCCTAGGATCCTGGAGATGGACAAAGAAGAGAACCGGCGCTCAGTGCTGCTGCCCACACACCGGCGGAGGGGGAGCTTCAGCTCTGAGAACTACTGGCGCAAGTCCTACGAGTCTGGGGAGGACTGCTCAGAGGCCACAGGCAGCCCCACCCGAAAGGTGAAGATGCGGAGGCACTGAGGCCCATGGCATCCTCTCGGGAACTCTGGTTAATCCTCATGTAGCCACCCCACTTTTGTTTCCTTTTGAGGGGTATTGTTTCTGTTTGTTTGTTCTGACCCTTTTAGTTTTCCTTGGTTTGTTGCCTGTTAAGGCTGAAGAACAGAATTAGTTCTTGGTTTTCCTCCTGGATGGAAAGGCTGACAAGCTCACACTGGAGTGGCCAGTAGAGGCATGGGAGGCAACCACTGTCAAAGGGGGCTATGTCAGGCTGGTTTTATTTAAAAGCAACAAAATGTTTTGGTTAAGAAAATTCTTGTTTTGCTTTAATGTAAATTTTCTCAGTGTTGTAAATGAAGTTCAGTGTCCCGTCCCGTCTGTCACCCCCCCCACCCCACCCCCATGTTTAAGCTGGGTTGAGATTTCCTGGGTCTTGCTGGCTCCACAGAGGTCCTGCTATCCTTTCACCTGTCACTTGCTCTCCAGGCTCTGGAAACTTGTGCAAACTCTTCCTCTCGCTGCAGTCATTCAGGGTGACTGAGCAGGGGCTTAACCAGTGCCTGCCCCGGCACCCCAGAGCTATTGGCCATGCCCACTGGCCTGCTTTGCCCACAGGTCCCTGGCTGGCTGGCGGCAGAGAACTGCAGTGGTCCTGACCTCTTGCCAAGAGCACGCCTCTTTGCTGGGTTGCTCCTTTCAGGCATATGAGTGTGATTGTATGGAACAGTTAGACTGGCCAATGTTGGGGCAGTTTTAGGAATTATTTCTAGCTAGAGGGACTGGTGTCCTTCCAAGTCTAGCATTTGGGGTATGGAAAATTGTTGTGGTGTGTAGTAGGGTTTTTGTTTTGAGTTTTTTCCCCCTTTGGTCTTGTCTTTTTCCTTTCCCTTTCCTTCTACATTGGCCAGTTTGGGCCTTCTCCCCATAGAAAGGTGCCTGCTCCCCTGTCCGCCTACAGCACGCATCCAAGGCCAGAGCTCAGGCCTGCAAACTGGGTTGGTGTCTCTTCCACCTCTGGGGCATGGGAGCTGGGGATGGGCTTTTAAAAAATAGTGATAAAAGAAAAAAAGTAGTCTTTGGCAGTTTCCACCTCCTCAGATGCTTGAGGGCTACAAGGTTTTACTGGTCTAGATTCATTAGAAATGTCTCCTTGCTAGCCAGGGCCAAGACCAGGCCTGCTGAGAGAAGAGGCCCTCCCAGTCCCCAGGTTGCCACCACAAGGAGGGGAACCTTGTTTTATAGAGTCCTAGGCCTGGGGCTGCAGAAATCTGGGGCAGCCACCATCAAGAAGCCCCCTCTCAGGGGCCAGAACTCCTTTAACAGCGTGGATTCCTCAAGTTGGGACTGCATAACTAAGGCAGTTGCCTTTTTTTTTTTTTTTTTTTTTT